TACAAATTTATTTTTATAAAAGTTTCTGTTGAAATGTTAACTTTTTTGTCATTAATGGTCAAAAACTAAAAGATTTTGGCAAAAATGTTTGCAAAATTTTTTTTCAAAATTGTATCTTTTTTTGCATGTTTCTACAAAAATTAGGGCTGTTACAGAACATTTTTAGAAATATATTTTTATAAAAGTTTTTGTTGAAATATTAACTTTTTGTGTCATTTATGGTCTAAAACTAAAAGATTTTGGCAACACTTTTGTAAAGTATTTTTAAAAATGTTATCTTTTGCTGCATGTTTCTACAAAAAATAGGGCTTTTACAGAACACTTTTTGAAATGTATTGTTATAAAATGTTCTGTAGAAATATGACGTTTTTGTGTCTTTTTTGGTCAAAAACTAAAAGATTTTGATGAAACTTTTGTAAAATTATTTTTCAAAATTGTATATTTTGCTGTATGTTTCTCATCAAACATAATTTAGAGAATATTTTTAGAAATTCGTTAAATTTTTGTGTCATTTTTTTTTCAAAAACAAAGATTTAGACGAAAAGTTTTTGTATCTTTACTGCATGCTTCTCAAAAAATTAGGAAAATTTAGAGAACATTTTTTAAAAAATTTTCCATTTGAATTTTTTGTGAAAATCTGAACTTTTTGTTTCATGTTTGGGCAACCTTTGACAAAACTTTTTTTCAAAAAATTGTTTGTCAAAATTGTATCTTTTCCCGCATGTTTCTCATCAAATTAGGGCATTTATAAAACATTTTTAGAAATTTGTTGTTATAAAATTTTCTGTCAAAATGTGAACTTTTTGTGTTATTTTTGGTCAATAACTAAAAGATTTAAAAAAAAAACTTTGTTAAAAATTATTTTTAAAAATTGTATCTTCTGCTGCATGTTTCTCAAAAAATTAGGACATTTATAAAAATTTTTTGTTTTTAAATTTTCTGTCGAAATGTGAACTTTACGGGTCTTTTTTGTTATAAAACTAAAACGTTTTGATACAAATTTTGGTAAAAGTTTTTTTAATTGCCTTTTCTTGCGTGTTTCTAAAAAAAATTAAGGCATTTGGAGAATTTTTTTTAATTATTTCATTTGAAAAGATACAATTGTGAAAAATAATTTTCCACAATTTTTGTCCAAATCTGAACTTTTCGTTTCATTTTTGGGCAAGTTTTGACAAAAATTGTGGAAATTTACTTTTGAAAATTGTATCTTTTGGCGCATGTTTCTAATCAAATTATGGCATTTAGAAAATATTGTTAAAAATTTATTTTTATAAAATAAAAATGGGGGCTTAGGGTCAGGGTTAAACTAACTTTCTTTGTCAAAATGTAATAGAATTTGACCAAAAATGACACGAAACAAATTTTGACAGAATATTTTATTTAAAAATGTTTTCCCTGATTTTATGAGAAACATCCAGGCAAAGATAAAATGTTGAAAAATAATTTTAACAAACTTTTTGTCAAAATTGATTACAATTTGACCAGAAATGTGAAATTTTCACATTTTTACAGAAAACTATTTAAAAAATTAAAAAAAAAAAAAAAAAAGCTCTGTAAATTCCCTACTTTTATGAGAAACATGCAGGAAAACAATAATTTGAAAAATTATTTTACCTAAACTTTTGTTAAAATGTATTACAATTTGATATGAAAAGTTCACATTTTGACAGAAAATTCAATAAAAAATGTTTTGTTTTTTTCAAATGTAGCGTTTTGGAAAATTGTGAGAAAAACATTATTTCGAATTATTTAAAAAAACATTTTTATAATTTTTTTTTTTAATTTTTAGATTTTTTTTTTTTTTTTAGAAACAAAAATTTGGTCAGATTTTGAAAAACTTGTTCCTGCGCATTTCTCATTGAATAAGAGCATTTTGAAAATTTTACCAGAACCATTTTTTTTTCATGGAATCTTGCGTAAAATTCTTAATTTTGCATAACATGTCGTCAGATGGGTGGGCAACGTCTCTGTCATTGGTGTGGAACCCCAGGGTTCACCTCCTGGGCAAGATCGAATCCCGGTTAGGGTGGTTGGTACCTTCCAGTGGACTCACCACCTGCAGGAAGGTTCAGGGGGGTGTTGGTACGGTGCAGTGTGATTTGGGTGGCGGTCGTGGAGACTGCTGCCCCCAGCAACGGATAAGCGGATGAAAATGGATGAAAAATTTCGATAAAACATTTTTTGAAAAAAAAAATATATATATATATTTTCTGCATTTTCTCATTAAATAAGAGCATTTTGAGAAATTTTTTAGATTAAAAAACATTTTGGAAATTTTTCGGGAAAATCCTAATTTTGCATGTCGTGGTCAAATGATGAAAAATAATGAAAATTTTTGGGAAATAAAATTTCAAAATGTTATAAAATGTAAAAAAAACAAACAAAAAAAAACCCAGAAATATGTTAAAAACCACTGCTGTGTAGAAAACATACATTTTTATATTTCATTTTGTCATTGCAACATTTAAAAAAAAAAAAAAAAATTTATATAAAATCGACGACTCCACCGTTGTACAAATGAAATTCTTTTTAATGCATATTAGCACTTACTTTTGGATTTACAAATATAAACATCACATTCACTTGAGGTGATTACAGCACGACACCCAAAATACACACGACACCAACTGCAAATAGAGGCTTTTACTTTTACACAATTCAAGAATGTCGTCTCTCCTGCAAACGTTCACGATTTGCTCCCTTTCGTCTGTGTAAAGAGACAGCTAGGTGGCGCCGACGGTGCTAAAAAATCCGAACGGTGGTAATCAGGGTCGATTAGTCGAAACCGAGTGTAGATAAATGATGTTTTCTGCTAATTTGGGTTTTTTGAAATTACTGCGTGATTGGGATTTTTTTTTTAAAAATCTGTTAAGATTTTCCTTTAAGTGAAAGAAAATCGCAATCCCGCAGAAACGACCATAAACTCTTTATAAAAAAATTAAAGAATTTACAAACTTTACACATTTTTAAAAACGTTGATGTTCCTTGATGGAGAGTCATGTGATGAGTTCACCCACAGGGGTCAGCAGAAATCCTGAGGCGCTAACTTTTGCAACCAGACCAATTTTTACAATGGGGGCCTAAAACTGTGGTGCAGGAACCTATTGTGAGTTCTTGTGTCGAACTATTGAGTTAATGAATAAATAAGTCGTAATTATATAAAAAAACAAAACAAAAAAAAAAGAAAATAAATAAATGTTGAAATGTTGACGACACTCATGAGGCCAAAGAAACCCCCGAAACTGTTTCGTGATTGACAGTGGTTCGATAACTTAAGTCA